CCCGAGGCCCTCTTGGGGGAAAGCCACCTCTGTCTCCTCCACGGCCTCCCATACGACCCATGGGGCCCCCAGGACCTCCTGGGCCCCCTGGACCTGCAATAAGAAAGCGCCAGTCACCTCTGTATAGCATTAGATTTGCTGCAGAGGAAATCTCTATCATTAAGGGAATGCGTACAGATCACAGCTGTCACCGTCCCTTCATTTGCCGCAGACATTTCTGCAGGCTCAAGAACCCAGCTGCACGCCTCCTGTGCACATTACTTTAGTTCGCTCCCACAACCCGTACAGAACGGGCATTCTCATACAGAGATACCCAAGCAGAGTAAATAAATGGCAGCCCGGGGTTGACAGCCAGGCACTCCAGCCCCCCTAACCAAGAAACCCGTTCTTCTCTTCTTTCAGTCCTGCAAACTTTTAACTGTCAGCATTCAGTGGTTCAGTATTGATTTTACATGCCGTTTTATTTCTAATGGGCTTGTCTACACTCTAGAAATCAAGTTTCTCAAAGACAAGTGTAAAAAAACATTGACAGCAACACAAAAGCAGCTCAGGAAAGATGTCTGGTAAATACCTCCACGAAGTGGCGGCGGCATCCCTCTGCCCTCACGGGGAGGCATACCACCCCGCATGCTGTTCATCGGAGGCTTCTTCCGAGCAAGAGAAACCTTAAGTTTGCTCCCTTGAAAATCTTTCCCTGGATCAAGAGAACAGCACCAATTACTCCCAACTTGCAACTCTTCCATCTTTGAGGGACTGGGCAAGGCTAGACCACTCCTAGCTCCCCGACTCCACCACACCGTCACTCTCAAACACCCCCATGGTAGCATGTGCCCCATCCACAACCTTCTCGAAGATCTTCACTGGTAAGGCCACAAAACATTTTCAAAAGATACGTCAAAACCCCTGTACCCTAGGGAGGGAAGTAAGCCAGGGGAAGGCCGAGTGCACTGGCACCCTTGCCCCACAAAGGGTGAGCAGTAGGGACAGGAGTACAGTACAGAGTGGCCAGGAGATGAGAGCCAGACCTGTCCCTTGACACTTTCAAGTTGACTTTGTCTGCAGGAAAGTTCCAGAATCAATGCCAAGGCCAAATATGGATATATTTAAACTCAAATGTATACTGGATTTTTGTGCAGTGATCTGTACCTTCTGCCCATGCTTAGAGAAGCATTTACAATTTCAGGCAAGATGGATTTGTAATAATGACTCAAAATAAGGGATCTCCTAACCCAGGGCCAGCAATGGGGCCCTCCCATGGCAGAAGGGAGCCAGGCACACTGCTTCCCAACAGCCAGCCGGTGCTCCTCCTCCAGTCTCCCGCTCCTATGGCTCTCAAGTTCCTCCTTTCTGCCACGTGTACCTGTCCCTTGTCCCCAAAACCACTTCGGAGAATGATATTCTAACAAAATTACATACATAAGCAAGCAGGTTGACATGGGCACCATTTGCTACAAGACCCTTCATGTGCCCCAGTGAGCACCCCCTGTTGACCGTGCGGCTCCTACCATCAAACCACTCCACAGCAGCCTTGGCAGTTGGTGGGTCTTCATAGGACACTGTAGCATCACCTTTGGGCTTTCCTGTTTCCTTGTCCAAGTAGATATGGATCATGGGTTGTCCGGTTCTCTTGTTCATCTAGGCACATAAAATAGCAGAGTCAGGAAAAAAAAAAAAAAAAAATAGCACAGTCAGGCTGTGACCAGAAACACTGCTTTTTGGGGGAAAAGTCCATGTGAAATTCAGAGAAGTCCCCTAAATTGTCAAAAGTAGTAATTTTTCATAGACACATTCAGTAGGACGTTAGTTTATCTCTGAATAGTGGAACTAAGCGTGCCTTATTTCCTAAATTGCACAACAAATATATACTTAGGTGATTTTTTCCTCTTAGGTGTAGGTGTCATGAAAACCAAAACAGGCCTAAAGTTCCAAAGTGTGTAAGTGAACAGTACGGTTCCCACTGCTTCCCTAGTTGTCATCTCCTGGTGTCCTTGCACCTGCCCCAACATTTTCTGTGCCCACGCTAACAGACTCCCAGTGACAACAGCCACCTCTTACGAGGCAGTCAGGCTTTGATGCCATCACACAAGCCAGTCTAGCATAAAGTGAAAATCACCCTTATATCAGTAAGTACAGTATACAGGGTTGTTGAGTGTGCTAGAAGCATCCTTAAGCCTAACAGCCAATTTTTCCTCCACAGGTAGAACACACCACAGCTTTTCAGCTGAACACCAGATCCAACTGGCTTGAATTCAGGAGCCACACTATAGAATATGGCTTCGGGGCACCTAGGTGGCTCAGTCGGTTGAGTGTCTGCCTTCGGCTCGGGTCATGATCTCAGGGTCCTGGGACTGAGCCCCGCATCGGGCTCCCTGCTTAGCAGGGAGTCTGCTCCTCCCTCTCCCCCTGCCCCTCCCCTCTACTTGTTCTCTCTCTCAAAATCTTAAAAAAAAAAAAAGAATATGGCTTCATTTGTTTTCTGCATTAAAAGTGCATATGATCAAAGTCTAATTTATACATGTTGTTTATATAACACCTAGTGATACCTGAGAGTACTGATTTATAGGGCGTCTTTTTTTTTTTTTAAAGCTAACGTTTATAAGATATACATACTAATACTTATGTTTTTATAAAGGACATATACAGACTGAAAAGAAATATGGCAAA